TTCAAATTAGATAATAAAATGACCTAAACCTAATCTTAATAGGGATTTGTGTCACAGCATCTGAAAATGTTAGGACTTAGGTGAGTTTTAGGGCTCATTTACATTTTTGCAGGGTGTCAGTGCACTTTATGTTGTGTTTTAATGTGTGTGGTATTCAAGCAGCCCATTGAAAATAATGCGCTACCAGTGCAGCAAAATGTCTTAAAAATCAATCACAAAATCACAATGCAAGAGTGTAAAAAATGGACCCTCAATGAGAATTCCATAGAAAATGGAGAGCAGCAAGACACTTCGGCATCCGCAAGAACAGGGACACCCTCAACAAACTACGCGACAATTTCTGCTGGTTTTTGATGGTTTTATTAGTGTTTGAAGAAAAAAGCATGTGTCACTGATAAAACTACATGAAAAAGCTGATTTTCAATGTGAAATGAATCAGATTGGGGTGATGCTGCAGTATGTAAGCCAAACTCCACATAAAGATTTATGGCATCCCCCAAGTATGTTGTTTGAAAAATTGGTGTATTTTTTATGTAAGGAGCATCGTTCCCAATGAACAACAATGTAAGGAGCATTATTCCCAAAGGACACCAGCGTAAGGAGCATTGTTCCCAAAGAACACCAATGTAAGGAGCATTGTTCCCAAAGAACACCAGTGTAAGGAGCATTGTGAACGCAAATGTAAGGAGCATTGTTCCCAAAGAACACCAATGTAAGGAGCATTGTTCCCAAAGAACACCAGTGTAAGGAGCATTGTTCCCAAAGAACACCAGTGTAAGGAGCATTGTTCCCAAAGAACACCAGTGTAAGGAGCATTGTTCCCAAAGAGCACCAGTGTAATGAGCATTGTTCCCAAAGAACACCAGTGTAAGGAGCATTGTTCCCAAAGAACACCAATGTAAGGAGCATTGTTCCCAAAGAACACCAGTGTAAGGAGCATTGTTCCCAAAGAATACTAGTATAAGGAACATTCTTCCCAATGAACACCGGTGTAAGGAGCATTGTTCCCAAAGAATACTAGTATAAGGAGCATTCTTCCCAATGAACACCGGTGTAAGGAGCATTCTTGCAAATAAACACCAGTATAAGAAAATCCAGGGAGCAACAACAGATGTTCCAACTTATTAGCAGTATATCCACCCTGACTTCACTCCATATATATGAAACCCTCAATCTATTCCAACTTATGAAGATTTAATAAAGTTTATTTTATCCCCCAATGTTTTCATCTATGTGTGTGTTTGTCTATGTATATCTTTCTCATATTAATCTGTTTCCTTTTCATTCACTCCATTCATTAAAAATACCTGGTTGTTCCTGCCAGTCCCCCTTCTTATTTGTTGCCATTTTGTATGCCTGGGATCACTGCTGCGAGTTACAGGTAGATGTGCCAACATCGGTTTTGCACCCACGCCCCCTGCTGTTTGATTGACAGCAGCTCCCTGGAAGAACATTGCTGTTAAAACTGTAGCATACACAGGCTGGGGAGCTTTATACACTGCCCACCCGCTGATGTCACCCAGGATGGTCTGGTTGTACTGTGTCCCCTGATCAGAAGAAGACAAGTGGGAGGTGGTGTAGATTAGTGATGGGCCGAACACCACCGTGTTCAGTTCGATTCGAACTTTAGAACAAGAAAAAAGTTTGAACGCTAATTCAATGCAAGTCTATGGGGCTAGAACTTTGAAAATCAATTGACCCCATTTTGAAGGCCATTTTGAAGTGGCGCATCTGTACAATGTATAGAACCTGCTGCAGCAATAATGGCATTTCTAAAGAAAAAAATGACATTTAAAAAGAAAAAAAAAAGGCGTGCGGTTCCCACTCCCAAACAATACCACACCCTTTAGGTCTGGTAGGAATGTTAAGAGGGACCCCATTTAGAAAAAAAAAAGCGTAGGGTTCCCACTAAAAGTGATACCAGACCCTTAAGGTCTGGTAGGAAATTTAAAAAGGAGCCCCACCCCCAAAAATGGGGGAGGGAAAAAAAGTGTGGTCCTCCTAAAATTCCATACCAGACCCTTGATCCGAGCACAGGCTTGGCAGGGCAGGAAAAGCCACTCCCCTCCCTCCCCCCTCCCCCCCGGAAAAGCGCTTTGTTCCCATGCCGATGGGGACAAGGGCCTTTTTCCCACAAGCCCTGTGGCGTTGGCTGTTTGGTTGTGGGGATGCGGGCAGTGGGCACCCAGATGCGCCCCCCCCTTGTGAATGAGCAAGGGTACCCATTCACTAAAGGGTTAAATCAAATTGTAAATTAAAAGACCAGACTTTTGAAAAAATCCTTTATTTTAAAAAAAAAACAAGAGACAAGTTTTTGAAAAGTCTTCTTTTTTTTTTTAAAACCCACAAAAAATGGATCCACCAACGTAATCCAGGGTCAATCACGACGTCCAGCGATAACGCGACGAATTAAAAAAATCTAATTAAATGAAAAATAGAAATAATAATAATACAAAAAAAAAATCACGCCCGCCATCCCGTCCACTCGTGATGAACTACCGTCGCAGAATGGCATTTTGACAGATGCCGGCAACTTATAAACATTTGGGCAGAGCTAGCGGTGACAGTTTACAGTTGTACGGCATCTGACAGGTGAGCCATGATTGGGCAAAGCCATTATGACTTTGCAGAATCATAACTCTTACAGAGTCCTGGGCCCTGTGGTCAGGTGCAAGGCTTTAGCCAATCAGGGCTCACAAGGCGCAGTGCGCAGTGCTTTGTGGAGCGTTCAACCGCCGAACGCCCTGACAGTTCGTGTGTTCACCAAACACACAAACTGCCAATGTTCGAGTCGAACTCACACTCGACACGTACATTGAGCCAATCCCTAGTGGAGATCCCTAGCAGAGTCCATGACCATTCAGGAGAGGGAGCCCGGGTGATACCGTATAGGGGAGGGGAATCCCAGGGGAAGGTGGTGGGGATGCCAGGCAGTGATCAGCCTGTTCAGGAGAGGGCTGCCAGCAGGGTGAGGGTATGGGGGAGATGCTTTCACATATATAGGGTCTGAGAAGCTCAGCAGGAGGCAGTGGGAAACTCAGGCAGCACCTGGGCTTATTAAGTAGATGGGAAGACAGCAGAGTGATTGGAGATGTCTGTACATGTATGGGGTGTTCTGATCACAGGGTATGGGTAATGAAGAATGCATGGGTCCAAACACTGTACTACAGAGGTGGCTGATGCCTAATGGGGAGATGCCATCGTGATAGGATTCCTAGCTATGTGTGACATGTACACTGCCAACCCACTTACTGAACCGACACGTCCATGCTATGAGGAAGAGGGATCTGAAGGAAGGTTGTGTGGTCACATGACGGACAAATACAACTACATAAAATATAAAATGTTTACTTTTGACAAAACTAAATGCAATTATGGTACTTAAATAATATTTCCTATATTACAATGTACGTTGGTTGTGGTGTTCACATATACTTTAAAGTGACATTAAAGGATAAAAAGATTTCCCTCCCCCCATGTTAATGTTAGCACTTACCTTAAATGATGTCTCTTAATCCGATCTTCTTCTTCTTTCCTGATGTTTTCACCTGTCCCTCCAGCGGTGCGGCGGCTCTCCAATCCAGCGCTGACTCCTCTCTGCTTGCAGGCACTTCTGATCCAGCAGTGTCTGCATGCGGGTGCACGCGTGCATAGACTTACCTTGCTTCTCTGCTCGTCTCCTGGCCGAGAATCCGAACTGCGCATGCGCCCGCCCCAAGATCCTTTGCAGCCGCACGAGCAGTTCCGGATTCTCGGCTCGTGAGCGTGCAGCGATAACGAGGTAAGTGTAAACCGCTATTAAATCGTTTGGGGTTTTTTTGTACTTTTTGCCTATATCTACTGCTTCCTAGCAGTAGATATAGGCAAAAAAAAACAACCAGCCTGCCCAGGCTGACCCCACCTCCCGGGAACTGAGAATTAAAAGCATGGGAGAGCTGCATGTAGCGGAAAATATATTTGAGAGGGACAGGGCGGTTAGCGGCCAGGTCAGCAAAAGACAGAAGGGAATTGGCCTCTACAATATCAGATATTAATTTTACTTGATGTTTTGCCCAGAAAGAGGGGTCAGGAATTGTGTAGAAGTGGGGGCAATTGGGGATCGTTCCACAAAGGAGTGTCAGGGGAGATGTCTAGGGCAGCTCTAGAGCACCAGGCTAATCCCGTGCGCCAGACCCTGATAGTGGTGCGCATGGAGAGGGCGAGATGGTAGGGGGCTCTCGGACCTCTATATAATAGGCCAGTTAGTGCCTCTACTGAATTCAAAATGGCAGCCTCCAACATAAACGAGGAGTTGTTGACATCAGCCGAGAGCCACCAGTTGGCCGTGACCATTTGGGTAGCAAGGAAATATTTATAAAAGTCCGGGAGCGCTAAGCCTCCTTGTAGAGTGGGGCGCATTAGGGTCGTGAGTTTATATCTCGGGGGCTGTGACCCCCATAAGAAAGAGGAGACTAGTTGATTTATTTGGTGAAAATAGGGTTTAGTAATCCATATAGGGGAGTTACGAAAGACGTATGTCAATTTGGGCAATATCTTCATTTTAACTAAATTAATCCTCCCCGTTAGGGACAAAGGTAAGTTCGCCCATGCTTTCAGTCTCTGCCGCATATCACCCAGTATCGGGAGTATGTTCAGTGCAATATATTCCTGAGACGATCCTGATATTACTACCCCGAGGTACTTGAATGAGTCTACCCAGGAGAGTTGAGTGACAGTTCCGGGCATAGACATAGCCTCTGCATCAATGGGAAACAGTATGGACTTATGCCAATTTACTTTTAGGCTCGATACACTAGAGAATTCAGTGAGAACATCTAAGGCACCTTGCAATGAGGGTCCCGGATCATTGAGGAGTAAAAGCAGGTCGTCCGCATATAGCGCCACCCTCTCCTCCAACCAGCCAACTCTAAGTCCCCTAATGACGTCCGTAGAGCTTCGGCTATGGGTTCCATGGCCAAGGCAAAGAGAGTGGGTGACAGCGGACAACCCTGCCTAGTTGCCTTCCTCTGCAGATAGGGAAGGGAGCTGACAGTTTATTCCCAAGTTTTATAGAGGCCACAGGGCTATGGTATAGTAGTTTAATACATCGAGTAAACTCCAAGGGAAATCCCATTTTGTCCAATATGACCCATGAGTCTATCAGACTATCCGTCAGTTGGTTGAGTCGCACGCTAAGGAGTTTGGTTAAGTAGGCCAATGGCCTGTAGGAGGCGCAGTCAGTCGGGTCTCTAGGCGGCTTGTGGATTAAAATCACATGGGCTCCAGTCACAGAGGGCGGTAGGCAATCTGCCTCCAAACAAGAGGTATACATCTGACATAGTCTAGGGACCAGTAGGCCCGCATTCGTTTTGTAAAATTCCATAGGAATCCCATCGGGGCCTGGTGTTTTACCATTAGGGAACGAACGTATGGCTGCGAGCACCTCGACTTCCGTTATAGGCTTTGTCAGAAAGCTTCTTTGGCTGTCTGATAACCACCCCAGGGCTACGGAGTCCAGCAAAGACCGCAGTAATATTTCCTAAATACCAATGGGGGACAACCCATACCGAGAGAGGCAGTCCGCTTCCGCAGCTTGCAGTTTATCCGTACGAGCTGAGTCCTCCTTTTTTATCGCCTTCTGGAGGTACATGTAGTCACCTCGCACATAGGCCTTGAATGCATCCCATACAACAGCGGGCCCTGCAGTGGAGGCGTTTTGTTCCCAGTACTGCTCAACAGAAGGTGGAATAGCTTCCAGAGCCATAGGGTGAGATATCCAGTGTGGAGCCAGTCTCCAAAGGGCTCTATCCCTTTTTTGACTGGTACGAAGGGTTAACCACATAGGACAATGATCCGAGATACCCCTGGGTAGGTATCCAACCTCTCCAATGTCAGGCAAAAGGGCACCGCTGGCAAATGCCAGATCTATGCGAGATGCAGTTTTGTAAGAGGCGAAGAAACAAGGGTAAACCCTGGTCGTGGGGTTCCTCCATCTCCACACCTCTGTGAGACCAGCAGTCAACGCCCAATCACCCAAGTCAGAGAGGCCGAATCCAGTAGAGCCAGATCTATCCATGTCTGGGGCCAGTGTGTAGTTAAAATCTCCAATAAAAATTGTTTTTGCAGGGTCCATGAGATGAAATCTTATCTAGCAATGTGTACAATACATTAGAATTATATGGTGGAGGAAGGTAAACATTGACAACAATATATCTCTGCATCCACATGGTAAACATTAATATAACACATTTGCCATTAGGGTCAGTGTGAATCTCCTCAATAGTGCATGGCAGAGATTTGTTAAGCAGAACAGACACCCCCCTCAAGTATGCGGAATGCGAAGCATGAAACGACCGCTGCACCCAAGGGCATCTCAAGGCCAGCAACCTATTACCCATCAGATGGGTCTCCTGCAAAAGTAGTATGTGGGGATTATGTTGAACATCAGTGCTAGCTTGAATTTGGAGTTGAGACCCCTGATATTCCATGACAGGATTTTAATCTCTTCCACACTCCGCACACTCATGAGGAAAAAAATAAACATGTAAGTGAGGCCACACCTCCAAGCCCCCTAGATCTTCACCGTGCCCTCCAGCAATGTCATGCAGAAGCATTTGTAGTTTTAGCATGTGAGCCAACCACCTGTAGCAAAAATGAACATCAAACCAGTAGAAAAAACAACAACCCCATCTCCTCCCAACCCTCCCCTAACCCACCCTGCCAGTCCAACACATAACCCCAATAGCACTTAGAGCAAAGTGTGTCAGGAGGCTTAGGATCCCCAAACAATTGTGAACTGAGTCAAAAACTTTCAACAAAAACTAAACAGTCTGCTAGGGCAGTGTAGTATCCCGACTAGAACTCCAAGTTCTCGAGATCCAGGACTCCTCCGGGTCCCTTTTCCTGGGGTGCTGATTAAACTGGATGTGGAGAAGGTAGCTTGAAATAATGAAGGTATGCTTACCAAGTGGAAGCAACCGCAGTGGTAGTGGTAGCCGTCCGTCAGGTGTTGTCTTGCTGCAGCCGCCGCGGGGTATCAAAGAAGCGAGTAGTGGCGCCATCACTCACACGCAGGCGACTGGGATATAGGAAGCCATATTGCAAACCCTTTTCTCTGAGCCTCCTACGGACGTCTGTAAAGGATCTGCGTCGTTGTTGTATTTCAGCAGAATAATCAGGATACAATGAGACACGGGCATTTTCGTAGTGTAGAGTAAGATGGCCTCTAGCCGCTGCAAGGACCCGGTCTCCATCCCTGTAATTTAGCAATCGAATCAGGAACGGTCGGGCCGGAGCGCCCGGTTTTGGCGGGACGGGCAGGAGGCGATGCGCTCTCTCCACCATAAAGGTCAGTGGTAGGTCCTGGGGGTCAAGCAGGGTAGCCAGAAAGGTCCGGCAAATTCGGCTGTTTTTTTCCCTCCGCCCGCTCAGGGAGGCCCAGCACGCGGATGTTGTTGCGGCGCAGCCGGTTTTCGGTATCTACCGCCCTCTCTTGCAAGCCCTGGAGCTGCCGTTGTAAATGCTTGACCTCAGCGGAGTCCGCCCGCGTTGTCTCCTCCACCCGAGAAATCCGGGCCTCCGCCTCCCCCATGCGTGTTCGGAATTTATCCAGATCATGTCGTAGTAAACTCACATCAGCCGAGAGTGAATCGATCTTATTCGTGAGCACCTCTTTACAAGACGTGATAGCCGCCAGGATGTCGGAGCTAGTTGGAGAGGGAGGCGTCACATCAGTGCTACTCATCTGCCTGCTCACCGACATCTTGCTGCATTCAGCCAGCGCAGCCAAGATGGCCGACTCCGAGACACCACGAGGCCTGCCTCCCGATGAGCGAGTCGATCTGCTCTTATTACGCTTCATTAAAACAGCCGCCGATGATGAGATCCAACTCAGGAGGTATTTAGTCACACCTGACCACAGGTAGATAGCGAAGAATCAGCACAAGGATAATAGTAGGATATTGTATGGAGCGGAGCTTCCCAGGCACACGTCTTCTCAGGATCACATGCTGGCCACGCCCCCCCCCCCTGCTACCTTTTATTTATATCATACATCAGGTAGTAGTAGCAGCTTCTCTATGAACGGCTCTGGTCACATGACCGAGGAGCCTGTATGAAGGTTCATGCAGGGGAAAGCAACAAACATGATGGAGATTGGAGAAGTTTTTGGACTGCAGAGGACTGAGTGGGAGGAAGACGGAACTGTGACTGTTGGGTTGCTGGAAGGGACACTTCTGGAGATAACTGTTCACTTTTGTGAGACATCTGCAGGGCAAGCACTGCCAGGACTGAAAAGGAAATTGTAGTTAAAGGTTGTATCTTTAGAAACTTTGCATCGGTCCCCTCTTAAAATCCATTCCAAACCCCTATCTGGGATAAGGGTCTGGTGTCGATTATGGAGGGATTGTTTTTTTTAATCTTTACATGTTTTACATGTTAGATTGGAGTGCCTTGAGATTTTGCATACTTTTGAAAGGGTGCTGTGACTGGAAAAAGGCTGAGAAACACTGCACTAGACTACACATGCTTGCATTCATATGAATGGGCTCCCTTGCTGATCTGCCAGTCTGGGGAGGGCAAAGCCCCTCCCTGTGTCAGGAAATCCTGAAGGAAAGTGGATTGGAAGAGACACATCATCCAAAGAGTGAGCAGGTGTCAGCCAGTCTGTATTGTCATCAGGAGGGGGCACATGAAAGCAGCAGGTGAGGAGGAGCCAGGGGAGGGGGCATTGCTGGGTATAAGATGCCCGCACACAGCAGGGCTCAGGTACAGTACAGCCTGATGGAGAATATTATCCGATCTCTCTTTTTCTCTGCCAGGGACGAGCCATTGTGGGCTCATCATATGCCAACCACTGGTAAGAAGGGGAAGGGGGCTGAATGTGACGCAGGAGGGCACTGTACCCTGTAATTCTTATTATACACTGAATGTAAACTGTACATTACTTGTCTCTGTGCTCATCTGTCTATAAAGAAAGGGGCTCGTTTACTAAAGAAGTACAAATTCAGCCTGTGTTTAGTTGCGGTTCTTAGTTAGGATCAGTGTCAAATTCTATATAGATCTATAATTCCCAGCAACCTGGGTAGCTACTTGAAATGTACGCAGGATATGTTTTATTCCTATAGGCTATAATAAGGGAATATGTCTCGGTGTCAGGGACTAATTATGATGGATTGTAGTACAGCAACATTTACCAATGTGTTTGGTCTGTTTGGTGGAGCAGTAGAAGGAGGAATGGTGTTTTATAAAAATGCAATAACTCATAGCAACATGGCCACACACATATTGACATGATAATTCAATCGGTCATTCCATGCGGCTAAAATAATTGAACTGAGTAAGAATCGGAAATCACACGGACCTTGTATTTGATCGCTTTCGACAAGTTATTCAGCGATAGCGGAATTGTAACGATTGTTTGTGATCGATCTAATGAAAGTCTGCATGTGTTACAGACAACCAATAAAACAGATCGAATAAATAATCATTTTTAATCGATTGTTACTGATAGATCAATTAATCAAAACCGTATTTGTTTTATCGTTCAATTTTTTTTTTTAAATGACTTGTCTGCAATTGCTTGTACCTCGATTGATCACTAATCGGTATATGTATGGCCACCATTAGATTGTAGTATAGTGCAGTCAGATAAGTGGTAATCAATCATTACAATGGTGTGTTCGTTCAGATATTTGACATCTTGTGTACTTTGCTTGACAGCCGCGATACAAACTTGACACTCCTGTATTGTGTAGATGTGCATTTGCTATACCAGCCTTTCTCAACCAAGGTGCCTTCTGGCTTTGTCAGATCTTCAAATTTTTGCTAAAGGGGGGGACTCTGATGTGAAGGGGGGCTTTTGATATGAAAGGGGGGGATGATAATATGAAGGGGGCTACTGATGTGAAAGGGTACCTCTGATGTGAAGGGGGGCTTTTGATATGAAAGGGGGGGATGATAATATGAAGGGGGCTACTGATGTGAAAGGGTCCCTCTGATGTGAAAGGGGGGACTCTTATGTGAAGGGGGACTCTGATGCGAAGGGGGGACTCTGATGCGAAGGGGGGACTCTGATGTGAAGGGGGCTTCTGGTGTGAAGTGAGCTTCTGATGTGAAAGGGTACCTCTGATGTGAAAGGGGGTGAACTGTGATGTGAAGGGGCTGTTGATAGGAAGGGGGGACTCTGACGTGGAAGGGAGGGGGAATCTGGGGTAAACAGGGGCTTCTGATGTAAAGGGGAGGTCCAATGTAAGGAAGCTCCTGATGTGTACGGGGCTTCTAATGTGAAAGGGGGGACTCTGATGTGAAAGGGGAAACTCCATGTTGGTTTTTGTTTTTTTTTGCCTAGGGTCCCTCGTTAAAATCCATACCAGACCCTGTCTAGGATAAGGGTTAAGTGTAGACGGGTGTTACCTAGTATTTGAGGTTGAATAAAGACATTAGTCCATCAAGTCCAACCTATTAGGATCTCATTCTAGGAGTACCCGTACCCCTGTATATTACGGTCCCTTAAGAAATTGTCCAAAAGTTTCTTGAACAATTCCACATTATTTGCTGAAATCACCGCCTGCGACAGTGAGTTCCAGACCCTAACTGATCTTACTGAGAAGAACCCCCTTCGCCCCTTGTGCTGGAATTTTTTTCCACCAATTTTAGGTGATGGCCTCTAGTTTTTGTAATGGAGTTAATTTTAAACAGTTTATCGTTAAAACTGGGTTTGGTATTGATTGGTTAGGGCAGGACCACTTTCTGGTTTTTACATTTTTATCTTTACGTTTCCTAAATTTTAGACTGGATTGCCTTGAGATTTTGCATACTTTTAAAAGGTGCAATGACTGAAACAAACTTGAGAAATGCTGCTCTCTACACACTGCATGCATCAGACAAGTGTAATACAAGAGCTAAAAACCTCTTTTCAGCAGACATCCATAGGCTACCCATACGTTCCATTCTGGAAGAGAACGATTCTGAATCAATAGAATAGATGTTCACCATGCTGAAGAATCTCTGCTACACATAACAAGTACTTCTTCTGAAGCCAATATCGCTATCTGCAGTTATTAAAGTGTATCTAATAGACATGTGCACTGCCAAAAAATTTGTTTTGTTTCGTTTCGTTTTAAATTAGGATTTGTGTTATTTCGTTTTTCGGGATTCGGGTGTGAAAGTCAATTCGGATTCGGAATTCGGATTTGGACGAAATTCGTTAGCGGTAGTTCGTTCGAACGTTTGTTTCGTGTTCGTTTCTTATTCGTTTAGTTCATTCGTTCGTTTGCAGCAAAGTGACATTTGAGGGGGAAAATGTTTTCCTTCAACGGACGAAACGAATAAGAAACGAAAACGAAACGAACGTTCAAACGAACTACCGCTACCGAATTTCGGAAACGGAAATTTGGAATTGTTTGCATTCGTTATATCTATCATTTGGAATTCGGATACATCCGAATGTCCGAATTTCCAAAAATTTGTCCGAATTTCGATTCGGAACGAAACGAATCGCACATGTCTAGTATCTAAACTAAAAATCAAGATTTTCATATATTGTAGCTCATCTGCCCCCCAAATGTGCTGGCTGCAATCATTTTCTTTTTTCCTTTTTTCCCTTTTATTTTCACCTGGTGAATCCTGCCAGTAACATGCTTCCTGTTCGAGCGTGGCAACACTCAATTACTGCGCTGCGTCTAAGTAGTAACGTTGTCAACTTAAGCTGCTCTTATGATTTGGACTACAAACACCTCCCCCTTTCCCAATCTCCATAACAGGGGATTAGGTGTATTGTAGTTCACAGATGATAGCAGGAAATGCTGTTAATGTTGTTTGTGATTTCAGGTTAGTACACAGGCAGTAACAAGGATGGAGGATTTTATATCAAGATCAATAAGTATTTTTTTGTACCTGCAAAAAATTTACTTAAAAAAGAACACTAACAGCCACCACATATAAACAATATACTGTATTACATGTTTTATGTGGGTTTAGATACCCTTTGGACTGACACTGCCTGATTATTGTAATTAATGCAAAAATTGCTGGCAGGATTAGCAAAAATCAGGCAGTTCAATGGCCCATTCACACCTGTATGTCGCGGTAATGCACTGTTTTAATGTGCACTCTCACAATTGCACAGCAACACATGTACCTCAGGGCATTGCATTGCTATTCATTTTGAATAGAACCCCAGTGGACTAACACAATGCAGTGTACATGCGTTGTAATGTGCTATAGCGCCTAGATGTAAATGATCTTAAGTGTTAAGAAGATTGTGGCATGCAGGACCATTGGTGCATTGTGGACCATTCAAAATGAAATTTTAGTTTGCAGAATTCCCACAAACAAAAGATGACTTGTGATTGGCTGAACTCAACATTGTTCTTTGCTGAATAACACAAAGTAACCACTTAGAGCTCAGCTTTAATCTGACTAAATCACCTGTTAAAGTCACCTGAGAATCTGCTCATCATTACTATTTGAAGGATATTACCACAACGTAGCACAAATGTGAGTGACCTGAATACAGTTATTACAGAAAATGGAAATTATTTTTACATGTTCATTTCAAGGTGACACAATTCAAGGGAAGCAAAAGGAAACTGTGGCTGCGGTAAATGGGACTCCCAATCAGAGGAAGCGTAAGAGGACTTTATATAGTAAATGGCAGCAGTTGGAGCTGGAGAGCGTATTTGAAGTAATCCCCTATCCAGACATCAACACCCGAGAGCAGCTAGCCAAGATCATCCGGCTGCCGGAGTCTAAAGTACAGGTACAGTCAGTGACATCAGTAAATACAACAACTAACATGTACAACTACTAGGACACTAATACAACAACTAACATGTGCAACTACTAGGACACTAATACAACAACTAACATGTACAACTACTAGGACACTACTAGGACACTAATACAACAACTAACATGTACAACTACTAGGACACTAATACAACAACTACCATGTACAACTACTAGGACACTACTACAACAACTAACATGTACAACTACTAGGACACTAATACAACAACTAGCATGTACAACTACTAGCATGTACAACTACTAGGACACTAATACAACAACTAACATGTACAACTACTAGGACACTAATATAACAACTAACATATACAACTACTAGGACACTAATACAACAACTAACATGTACAACTACAAGGACACCAATACAACAACTAACATGTACAACTACTAGGACACTAATACAACAACTAACATGTACAACTGCTAGGACACTAAACAACAACTAACATGTACAACTACAAGGACACCAATACAACAACTAACATGTACAACTACTAGGACACTAATACAACAACTAACATGTACAACTACTAGGACACTAAACAACAACTAACATGTACAACGGCTATGACACTAATACAACAACTAACATGTACAACTGCTAGGACACTAATACAACAACTAACATGTACAACTACTAGGACACTAATACAACAACTAACATGTACAACTACTAGCACACTAATACAGCAACTAGCATGTACAACTACTAGGACACTAATACAACAACTAACATGTACAACCACTAGGACACTAATACAACAACTAACATGTACAACATATACGAAGTGCCGGCAGACTGCTGCTACCAAATGCGGCTGCTGTCACCCAATCATTAACAGGCGACAGCAGCCGCTTCTAAATGGCATATTTGGGATTCCTGCCACAGAAATTCATAGGTTCCTGCTGCAGGCATCCAAAAACGCATCATAAATGTAGGTGTGAATGAAGACTAATACAACAACTAACATGCAAAACTATTATAACACTAACATAGCAACCAACATGTACAAATAGTATAACACTAATACAGCAACTAACATGTACAACTACTAGGATACTATTACAGCAACTTACATGTCATACAACTGCTAGAACACTAATACAACAACTAACATGTACATTTACTATAACGCTAATACAGCAACTAACATGTACAATTACTATGACACTAATACATCAACTAACACATAAAACTGCTAGGACAATAATGCAACCACTACCATGTACAATTACTAGGACACTAATACAATAAGTAACATGTACAATTACTATGACACTAATACAGCAACTAGAATGTACAACGACTAGGGCACTAATACAACAAGTCACATGTACAATTACTATAACACTAATACAGCAACTAGAATGTACAACGACTAGGACACTAATACATCAACTACCATGTACAATTACTATGACACTAATACAATAACTAACATGCCCTATGTCCCAGGAGGAAACATGTAGGTAGGTGTTGCTTTTATGAACAGTTTATGCTTTACAATTAGTGCTGAACATTCAGTCTTATTATGTGGTGATGATTTACATGTTTTCATCTGGAGAAAATAAATACTTCCCATCCCACAATCTGTTCTGCATTCTCTACACACCTAAGGTCAAAGGTTTTCATATATTACAGTTTTTTTCCCATTTACAGGTTTGGTTCCAGAACCGCAGAGCTCGGAAAAACAAGAGCGGCAAGTTGGACAAGACACTTTATCGGCGAAGTTCATTATTTCGTCCTGCTCATCTTTGCCGAAATGCTATGTCACCATCACATAACTACAGTCAAAGAGATACCCTGATCACCATGACCTTCCCACCAAACCTGGTTGGACCTTATGGGCATGATTATCAGCAGGTACCTGGAGTTCAGCAGCCGGGGTTCCCCCCCATCCTACAGGAATCTACACCCATTTTCCAGCAATACTCAGCAGAAGAGACCTATCACTGTACCTATGAACATTCCCAGTGGCAGAATTTGACCCTGAGTGGTGTGAATTCTGGATACGGCTGTGAGGCCACCGTGTATGGCACTCCAATAGATCACTGCGCATCTCCTTCTCTTGGACCATCATATTGGGAGTTATTTCCTCACACTGTGAGTGCAAACGGATCACAGACCTCTCTAGGATACATCTCAGATGTCATTTACAATGCGGCCATACTTACTAATCTAGGGGATCTTTAGCTCAGTCTACTTACCCATAATACAAATACACATTTTTCAGTAGGACTAATATTACCTGTATTGTAGATTTGTGTTCTTTCTACACTTATGAAACCTTTGGAAAAGTGAATAATTGTTTCTAGTAGTAGCGAATCCAGCAGAAGTTGATGAATATTTTGGAAATCCCAAATCTAGTTGTGTCTAATTTAGTATCACAGGGTATCCCATGGCCTGGTTGACTGAAACCCTTCTTAAACAAAATTAATAATGATCAACTTGTGAACTCCTCATAATTATAGATGTCGTCCATAGTCGTCAAAACCATCCAGAACTTTAGAAATATTTTAAGTATAATTATAAGGCCTTCTTGCCATTTGTTTATGTTTTCTCTGTGTAGTTAGACAAATTCCATAAAAATATAGAATAAATAAGTTATATACCTCCATTAGACAAAAAAGCTGTAAATATGTTTTTAAATGTCATTTAATAAATCAGTATTATTAATTTAGATGCGGCTTCATGTTTCCCTTCCATCTGTTGGACTGTTTGTCAGGATGAACAACTTTGGACCAATAGTATGGCTAAATAAGATGATAATCTGTACAAACACAAAAACATCAACTCTATACTAGATTGAAACATAAGTAAAATCCATGAATCATCAAGCATAATTTACCTAACAAAGTCCACCTATATAAACCATGTCCCATCTAGACAGACTCCAGCCTCTCTGTGGAACTAAAACTGGTACTGGGCCTGTATAGTCACCTATAGACACTGGAAAAAAGATCAGCAAGGAAAAAGGGATCAAACAGAAACCTTGTTGCTATAATTTGCTTAAGCAGGTTCTGAAGGCTTTCCCTCATTCCTACAGAGAATTAACATAAATGTTCAGGAGGTTGGATTGCTCAGGATTTATACCTGAAATCACCAGATCACTCGTAGCAGCCTGCTAATGTGCTGCTCCCAGGACCGCGGCAAACACTGTCAGGATGGAGAGCGGGAGCAGACCAAGGTAAGTCCGTTCCCCGATCTCCTCTGTGATGAATGAAGCAGAGAATGCTGTGCCCACAATGCTTCCTGCTTCAGAGCTATCAGAAGCTGGCCAAAGTGCTGGGTACACAGACATTAAAACACATTCCTATGCTTGATTGTCTGTAATGGAGGACAGGGGAGACATCAGGGGTCTAATAGACTCCAGATGTCTTCATAAAGAGAACCTGTGACCTCCAAACGCTATGCCTGTTAGCCCCTGTGTGATAGCAATAAAGTTACGTTTAAAAAAAGTAAAAAATAACAAATGAAAAATTAAATATGCCTTTAAGCACATGTGCGTACGGCATGCACGTGTATGTAACCCACAATTTTGCCACACATGTTGGGTATCATTGTGAATGTTGGAGTGAAAGCAATAATTTTGAGGCCATAATTCACTGTTAACTCTAAATTGATGCCCGGTAAAGGCTTTTAAAGCATCCACCATGGACAATTTTGAGTGCCATAGTTTTTCAGTATTGCACAGGCACACACAATTTTAATGCATGACATGTTTGGTACCCATTTACTTGATGTGACCCCATCTTTTATTTTTTTTACAAAAAATGGGTATTATATTGTGTTTGTGTGCACTAAAATTCAATTCAGTGGGTTTTTTTTGCTAAAAATATGAATTTGATAAACATTTGTGCAAATATTGTGCAACATAATACAATACAGCTATCATTTTTTTTATTCTGCAGGGCCCCTCCTTTCAGATAATATATCATTGGGGGTTTAAAGAAATATTTTTGTATACAAAAATTCAAATTTTAGCATACGTGTGCAAAAATTAAAAAACTGCTCTGGTAAAGGGGTGGTTAAATTTGGATATGGTGGAGATTTTTTGCCATGTGTGTGCGATTGGGAAGTGTTCCCTTTACTTTCTATCTCCAAAACACAAAAGGAAATGAGATAAAATCTCTCCAAAGGGAGGGAATCATTTTCTTAGTTGTCACCAGAACCATGCAAATAGACTACATATAAAGTGTATTAATAAAATGGAAAAAAGTACCTGTGTAGATGTTTTCTAATATCCATATATATGAATACACTGGAAAGAAAAACGCCATGTCAATTTTAATTGTGTTTTCAATATTTTTTTAAACTTTATTATCATTATTTGTTTTCACTTTCTTTTTAAAATGTATAAATCAGAATAAGACAGCAGAAAACACAACAAAATACTTTAAAATGTATCATATTTTTTCAAATAGCCATCTTAATTCTGGAATTAGGGAATTAGATACCAGGAAATTGTAAGATGTATTCCCTGTATAATGGGTGGGAGGGGGCATTGTGGTGCATTCAAGTTAACGGCCCCGCAAGAACCCCCGCCTGCACCAAAACGCGTAGCACAACAATGCCTGCATTCTGGTCCAGTGCAATTCCAAAAAATGCTGCAAGCACCGGAACACAGGGGGGAGTTTAGTATGTGATACAATGCTAACCGCGCTGGAACGCACTGTAATTGGTGTGAACAAGCCCTCAAAGGACTACTAACTAGATCAGGGGTGTGCAAAGTGCGGCCCTCCAGCTGTGATCAAACTAAAATCCCATGATGCATCTGTCTCTGGGAGTCTTGCCTGTGGCTGTGAGAATCTTGCAATGTCTCATGGGATTTGTAATTCCACAACAGCTGAAGGGCCTGCAGTTTGCCCACCCCTGCTCTAGAGGGTTTTCTGCCCAGTTATCAGAAATGTTCGGCTCCTGTCTAATGACCACTGAAGTGCTGTCATTGAACAGTGAAATGGCAATTGGCAGGGCTGTGCCGAAATGTCACACATGTGGCACATTTTAATGCCCCGCTGAAAAACGTTCCACCGTAGTTGAGCAGCGTTTTGCAAGCATTCGGGGGCAATACTGTCCACTTATGAATGATAATTCTTTTTATTGATCCAGCAGTTGTGGTGCTGTCCCATTGACTTTAATGTGCAAATTCCTTTTGTTCTATGGGAATACTGTGCTTCATAGTACTTTAGAGGATGATCTTTTGGCCTATCACCACATCTTAGTGATCTTGTCTCCCACAATCCAAACATGTAGCTAGTGTATGCGGTTGTATGACATATAGACATCCGACTGTAACATTGTCCATTTGTAGAACAACCACAGTATGCACACTACTATGCTTAAGCACAAAATAAAATAATGAAATTAAAAAAGCAAAATAAGGTCTATGGCAATATATGAAAAGTTATTCATTTTACCAAATTCTAAACCATGGAAAACATTTTAAAGTGAATAGAAAAATACAAAAAAACTAAACCAAGAAAATTTGTTAATGTTTTTAAAAAAATTGTTTCCATTAAGTCTCTAATTATACACGTGCAATGGGGCATCTGTATTTGCTCATGACATACTCATGTGCTTTGCAGTGCTAACATTTTTGTATTATCATGCATATGCTGACAACGCATGTCTGCATTATTATACGAAAAGGTTATTAATGGCAGGCTGTATCTCTCATGGAAGTTTTCTTGTAAGGTAAATACTGCAATAATACCTCAATATCATGCTCACTGAAAATACACTATACCTGCCCTTTAAAGTGTAGTGGAAAGTGGAAAGATAAAAAAAATGCCAGTTGGTAGGCTTTCTATGACTTAAGAGTCTGTGTAATTTTATTCTGCCATAAAAGCTTTTTACTGCCTGTCAGCAATTTGTTTTTATCCTGTACACTAAGCCAGGCATGCTCAGTTCAGTACACAGCTTGCTATGCCGAAATGAAGTAACTCCCATGCACATATCATTGGGGCCGGCCAATCAAGCAACTGAAGGCTAAAAACCTGGAAGGACACCAGGACGAAGAAGAAAGTGCCGGCAAGAGAGGAGCGCAGCCCCGGAAGGGGTCCGCTTTGGCAGGTACTGTAAGTCTGACATAATGTGCTAATATGCATACTAGCGCATTATTGCTATAAGCTCCCAGGTCCCCTTTTTTTTTTCTTTGAACATGCTTTACATCCAATTTAAATAAAATGCATGTACAAGCGCATCTGAAAACCGCAATGAAACCACATGCAGATGCAACGCATAATCATTTACACAGTCACAGGTGTCGGTCCATGGGTTTGTTTTTGCGTCCGGGAGGTACAAGGAGTCATTATAGGTGTCCCATACAGCTGAGGCCAGCAGCCTATAAATATTAATGACAGACTGATAGGTGCAGAGGTTGCACAGATCTTGCCGCACATCCGAGATCCACATCTGTACAGGGATGTATGCATGCCCTTGGATGCAGCCTGTCAGCATCCAGGGCCGTGCACCTGTCCCTGTGCAGATGTAAACGGTCAGATGTGGGAGAAGATCTGGACAAGCACTGCAACTGTCAGTCTGTCATTGATAGTTACAGGCTGCTGGCCTCGGCTGCATGGGACACCCGGACTCCCAGGCACCTCCCGGATGCAAAAACAAACCCATGTACTGACATCTGTGGTCCTGTAGATGTGAATGCCAAAGATAAAGTTAATATGAATAAGTTGCTACTATTCAAGTTTATACAATAAAGTATCCGTTAGCAACGAAACCCCAATCAGTTTTGCACTGGACCAATAAAATGTTTACAGAATACAACAGAATAAAATCCCCAAAGCCATTGTGCCAGCTATTTATTCTATAATTTTATGAATATCTCTGCTTAGGGGGAAAAAAAGTAATATGGATATCAGACAATCCCTTAATCTGAATCTTCTAAATCAAGGTTTTCCACCTTATCTTTCATTGCGAGGACTGTTTAAGAGAGTTATATTGGTATATTACATTTGCTATGATAAACAATCTTCCTCAGCTTATCTCCTATTTTAATTTTCAGAAGTATTATATTTCAGTTTATTCTTGAGGAACTTTGCAATAAACATGCTAGGAAGCCCAATCCTGGACTGTCGGTGAATATCACAATCACATGTAATACCAACTAATCTTCGCGGACATTACTTTAATCCGGCCCCTTATTTTCAGATGATTGTCAGGGAGATGGAGCTCTGGAT